CGATCAGCACCTCAGTGGCATCACCCTTGCTGCGCAAGGGGAAGACCGTGGTGTAACGCCTAGGGCAGCAGCCTCAATGCCCGGATCGGGCTGGAAACAGCGGTAGCAGTCACCCTCATCACTATGAGACACAGCATACATGGCAGAGAGAATAGCATTAAAGTCAAGATCAAGGATGGCAACACTCGCCCTAGACAGCTCGCCCCAGCGAGGAATCTCTGAGGCCTCTGGGAACTGGTGACGCCACGCGTCCGTCAGGCGGCCAAAGCAGCGCTGGGTGGGGTGCGGGCCCCCACACTGCTCACCCGCACGGTCGCCGGTGCGCAGGACGTAGGTGCACGGACCAAAACCCCCACCCCGCTGGCATGCAGTGTACCACTCCCGGAGCTGCTGAGGGGACAGGGTCTCACGACCGCGCTGCTGCTGCTGGCGCGCGCCACTACCGGAGCCACTCCTCTGCGAAGACCCGCGACCAGCTCCACCGCCACCCCCACCGCCTCCGCCGCCTCCGCTACTGCCGCCGCCTCCACCGCCGCCTCCACCGCCGCCTCCACCGCCGCCTCCTCCGCCACCTCTGCTCCCACCGCCACCGCCGCCGCCGCCTCCGCCTCCACTGCCGCCACCGAACCCCCCACCCCCACCTCCACTCCCACCGCCACCCCCACTACCCCCACCGCCTCCACCTCCACCTCCACCGCCCGCTCCTCCAGCTCCCTTGCCCCCCTTGCCCTTGCCAGGGCGGCGTCTCCCGCTAGGGGCAGACGCCGCACCGACCGACTCAAGATGAAGGAGGTCGGCCGTAGCAGCAGAGGCAATAGAGGGCAGCAGGGGGGAGGGAGAACACCCCTCAAAGATGGGGGTGCGCGGGTCACCTCGAGAGGCTCCTACAGCGACTTTACTCTTCTCCGCTGCTAAGAGGGCCTTCTCGAGGAGGTCGACAGTGAGTGTGGTGGGACAGACTGAGAGAAAGTGGTCCCTGACTACTCGAAGGGAGTCAGGAAGGCGAGTGACTAGGAAGTACAGAGTGATGTACATGGGGGGGGGGGTTCTTGGCGCAGAAGTCAGCAGGGAGTGCAGCGCGGAAGCGAGTGTCACTAGTGCGGAGGTGCGTAATGAGGTCAGCCACGGTGGGAAAGGCAGCAAGGTCAGGGAAGAGGTACGGTAGCATGAGACGGCTCAGTGCAGCAGTGGCAGGGGAGGAGTAGCGCGCGACTACAGCGTCGTACAAGGTCTGAGCACTCTTGTACTGACTAAAGTGCGCACGCTCGGAGGTAGGGAGGTGGCGACGCACAGCAAGACGTGCAGCAGCGTTGCGTGTGGCCCACTGGGAGCAAACAGTGGCGTCAGCGTCAGCAGCAGGGGCAGGGGAAGCGCCAGAGGTAAGGTCGAACAAAGAGAGGCCGTCTGCCCTATCGCACTGTAAGAACAGCTGCAGGTCGTCTACCCAGACCTCAAAGTCAATGGCCCGACCCTCAGCGTCAAAAGCTAGGACACTAGGGGTAGCCATGACGACAGACGACTAGCAGTGCAAACAGTGAGGGGGGGGGGGGGGGGGGGGGAGGGCCGTGCAGCGGGAGAAGGCGCTGTGCTTACCAGACGGGGCAGCTCTGGTGGTCCGGAAGTAGGGAAGCAGGGCGGCTCGGCTGCAGAGTGGCTCGGCTGCAGGGCGGCTCGGCGGCTCGGCTGCTGGGCGGTCGGCGGCAAGGCGGCTCGGCGGCAGGGCGGCTCGGCGGCAGGGCGGCTCGGCGGCTCTGCTGCAGGGCGGCTCGGCGGCTCGGCGGCAGGGCGGCTCGGCTGCTGAGCGGCAGGGCGGTTTCGGCGGCTGGGCGGCTCGCCTGCTCGGCGGCTCTGCTGCTGGGCGGCTCTGGTTCAGGGCGGCGCGGTGGCCGGGCGGCTTGGTGGTTCTGCTGCTGGGCGGCTCGGCGGCGCTGGTTCAGGGCGGCACGGCGGTCGAAGGTAGGGCAGTGGGTGGGCCGCAAGTAGGGCGCCGGTGGGCCGCAAGTAGGGCGGCGGGTGGGCCGTAAGTAGGGCGGCGGTAGGGCCGCAGGCAGGGAGGCGGTAGGGCCGCAGGAAGGGCGGCGGTAGGGCCGCAGGTAGGGCGGCGGGAAGGCCGCAGGTAAGGGCGACAGTAGGGCCGCAGGTAAGGGCGGCAGTAGGGCCGCAGGTAGGGCTGCAGGTAGGGCCGCAGGTAGGGCGGCGGGTAGGGCCGCGGGTAAGGGTGGCACACGACGCCGCTAGGGAGGCGCCGGGCTATGCGGCGACGGGCCGGGACAGGCGGCGCGGGGCCGGGAAGGGCGGCGCGAGGGCGCCGACGGGCCGGGACGGGCGGCGCGAGGGCGCCGACGGGCCGGGAAGGGCGGCGCGAGGGCGCCGACGGGCCGGGACGGGCGGCGCGAGGGCGCCGACGGGCCGGGAAGGGCGGCGCGAGCCGCAGGGAAGGGGCGGCGCGAGCCACAGTAAAGGGCGGCGGGGCCGCAGGTAGGTCGTGGGGAGGCCTGCTAGGGCGGCTCGACGACGTAAGAGCCCGGAGCGCGACTCGGGCCGAGCGCGCTTCGGGCAGGAAAAAAAAATGATCGATGTGGTGGGCCCTAGGCACAGTTCCCACGGGGGAACCTGCTCGATACCATGAGGAAATTAGAACGAGAATGAGGTGAACTATGAATGAAGCGAGTACAAATATGAAACCCTAGTTGGGTTGTACCCCCTATGGGATACCCCACTATAGCCTACACAATAGCATAAGCTATAATGTTCTGACACCACGTGCTCCAGCCATGCCATGTGGTAGAGCTTCAGTGTCATGGTCCCGTTCACCATCCTTGGCTTGAACGCCGCCCGTGCGCATGCTGTAAATGCCCCAGACGCGAACGACATCCCGTCACTGTCGCAACTCCACCGAGAGAGGGTCAGCTTACCTGCAACAACGCGCACACACAAAGTGCACATTTAATAACGGTTACCTCTGCATGTGCAATGCCCTCTCGTCCTTACCCGCAGGCACGTCTCCAAGGCCGACCCTATCTCGGATTCGGGACAGGGTGCGCCTCGCCCGTATCGCTCAGGGACTCTTCATGTCTCGGTCGTGTCGAAACAGTCCAATCTTAGGCAGCAAGATGTCGCGAACTCTTCCTGCCGCACCAGTCTTCCAGTCGCTGAACGACCTGTTCAGGTCGATCCGACGTGCCTTGCACGCAGCGAGAGCAACGCTTGCGTAGCTCTCTGTCAGGTTATCCACGACCGCGCAGATGGCCCATGTCTTGGCTGCGCTGCTGGGGTAGAACGTCAGCTGCGAGTTGGTGTGCCTAATGAACAGCTCGATGCGGGCCTGCTCACAAACCTCCTGCAATGTAAGACCACGCATTACGTCATCAGTCACCACGCATGTTCCACTCTGTGTATGGCACAATCCATCCAATATACGACCCGACAACACTCGAGTCTTACCTTCCAGGGTTTGTCGGCCGGGAGGAGGTCGAGCGCCTCCTGCATAATGGCAGATGTAGAGTGTCGAAGGTGGCCCTCGTCCTCGTCGTCGAAGTCCCCCTCCTCATCGGACGCCGTATCGGACGTAGAGCGTGCCCTCCGCGCCTTCCGGCGCTCTCCCTTGCCGGAGCCGCGCTTTCGCCTCCTCCTCTTCTTATTTTTGCCGTCTTCCTTTGGTTTCGCAAGGAACGCCGTCTCCAGCCTTGCAATCGCACGTGCCGTGGCTTCATGGAGCTCCCTCATGCTATGCAGCTCCTCGCGCGTGACTGGTGTGTCATTAGGAGCACCTTCCGCGCAGGCGTCGTCCCCTTCTGCGTCGGCCTCAGTATTGTTGTCCGCTTCCGCACCATCTTCGTCTTGAGTGCGGCGTGGGTTACGATTTGGGAGAACCTCGTTTGGATCGTCGTCCGATGATGGCACCGGGGGTGCGTCAGGTTCCCCCTCCACTTGTGCAGAGCCCTCGATGACGTCTTGAACGGGACACTTGCGCCTGCGACCCGCCTTCCCGCTGGATGCAGCGGCCTCGTCAACCTGCCGGCTGGACTGGGCAGAGGAGGAACTACCCTCTGAAGTGCTCCCATGCAACATACGCGAGTCCGCGCGAGTCCCATGAGATGGTGTCACGGCTGCATCTCAAACCACGAAACAAACAACAGAGTTAACTGACAAGCGCAAAGCACATACAAGCATACTCTGCATGAATGTCACAAGCCGGTGTAGAATGGACGAAGCATCAAACGCATTAGCATGGCGAAACGTTGGTCACTCACGTGGCGGCGAGGGAGGACCCCTTGCTTGCTGCTCGGTGGCATGTTTCGAAACATCCAGACGAGGCTTCTTCGTCACCTTACGCCTAACATTCCCAGGCAGAAGGTAAGAGTTCCATAGGTAGGCAGGCGGTTGTGACACGCGCTGACTTCTGCCCTCACGTGACGAAACTGTGAAACTGTCCATCGTGAACACAGTTGTGGGCAAGAATGAGTCTGGCTTACATATTGGTCACTACTTACGCATTCTGCGTCCAACCCAAGGGCACGCCTGTGCTGTACCCCCCCATTACACGTGGCAATCACTTGTCCGTCGTACTGCGTTCGTCATCTGGCGGCTTTTGTCCATATGGCTCAACCATGACGCAAAGTTATCCGCATATCTCGTTATACAGTCGAGTCATTTGTTGTTCCACATGGCAGCACCATAACAACATCAGCTACACCTTTTGTTAAACTAGTAAGGGTCATCCGCGAGGTGCATATGTAATCAGACATCGTAGGATATTCATTTTGCGCCACTATAAGACATCCAGATTGCGACATCAATGCAGTACGCACTCTTTCACACCAGGGGATAGAACTACATCTAGCATCACAAGGTGTTCACACATAGTACAAAGCTTCCTGTGCACGTCCAACGACCTAGGTACTGCCATCCGTGTAGCAATCAGCCTCGCCCAGTTTCCATGACGGCACAGCTCATGCTGCCATGGCACTACATATACCCATTTTTTCAGTCCATTGCGCCTACTCGTCCACCGCCTCCACATCATGGACCATCCTGCCTCCCACGTCGTCATCACCACTGCTGTTGTCCGACGACCGAGCGCCATTGTTTTTGAGGGGGAAGGGAGTACTAGGAGCAATGCCCAGCTCTTCCATTGTTGTCCTCCACTGACGCCACCTCCACCACATCTGTGCCTTGACCAGATGACGCACGTCGTCGCGAACACACTCGATCAGGGATGCCTTCTCCGTGTCCGACAGCTCCTTCGTGTGCTGGATGTGGTCATTACGCCTGATCATAAATGCCGCCACGGCATACGCATACGCCGCATCGAGCTCCACATTATACGCACCCAGCCTGATCTGCTGACCAGTGCCTGGGCCGCACACCATCGTAACCCCCCACTTTCGGCCCCGTGGGCACCAACTCACCCCTGTCCAGCGACTGGATGCAGGCCTACCACCGTACGCGGCAGGCATGCTGGTCTGACGCACGGCCCGTGCTGCAGTCCTAGTCCCCTGACGCGTGCGATACCTGGCAGAGCGCGAGACCGTCGGCGGTGCTGCCGGTGTTACGGGAGCGGTTGGGAGCTCTTGCTCCCCTGTCACGGGCTTGACCTATGGTGGTGTCGGCTCACTATGAATGATGGACGACCCATCGAGATGCGCAGAAGGGAACGATGGCAGTGGAAGCGGACAGGGAGTCGAGTGGATGGTCATGTCGAGCGTCCGCATAGATGCGGCGTGCTCCACGTGGTTCTTGGACGTGGATAGAGCCAGCAGAGGCATGTCGTGTGCCTGAAGCTCGTGTGCCGCTCCACTCAGCAGTTGATCCTCTGAAATGCCCAGCGAACGTGCCAGGCCCATGACAGCCGCACATACGACGTACCCCCCTAGCTCCATCCGGGTTATCATGCCTGACTGCCTCGCTAGGTCGGTGCGGACTTCATCCTCCTTGGGAAAGACGAGGGCGCCATATTCTCCCAACTTGGGAAGAGGCTGCACGGGAACATCCACACCCTCCCCAAATAGCTTGACAATAAGGTCACCTGTGGCGTGGAGGGACACCTCCTCGCGGAGCTGGCGCCGGTAGGCCCACGATTTCACGTCGTAGAACGGCATCCACTCTTTGAGGATTGAGAAGCCGGACGAAACCAGGGCGTGGAGATACATGCCCACATAAATGCCACAGTCTACCACGTTCGACTGTTGTGGGATGTCTTCCGGCTGCCAGCAGACACGGAACATGAGAGCGCACACGTAAAGTGACTGACAAACCAGACTGTGTCCGCGACATGACTGCGACATGAAGTGCACTCACATGCATGATGTGGACGTCGGCATACTTCAAGTGGTCCTCTGCCTGCTTCCAGTCGGCCGTGGGCAGCTGAGCTTTGTGCAACATGAGCAACATCCTGCAAGGGAAGTAGGTTACCGGTGGTCGTTATGTTGGCATCAACAACATTTATCAAGATTGGGCATGGCACAAGTACAAGATGCACCACTCACTTCTTGACGCCCTCCATCACTTCCGGCATCTTGGTGTGCAGCTGTGCACTATCGTAATGCACTAGCTCCACGCTGCCCTCTACAGTCTCGGATAGCTTCCCGCTGACCATGGTGCGGAGGTTCGTAGCTATGACCAGCGAGTAGTGGCCCCTGGCACATGTAAGCACGTTGTATGTTAGGGAATGCGTGTCGACACCAACTGCTCTGGTACCCGGCAACTATCAACAGCATGAGTATCGAGGGGTAGACGCCTTACTCGTAATACACTGGGATGGCGAGGTAGTCCTGTGCGAAAATACACGGTGCATGGCCAAGGGGCCAAGCCTTGTTCAGGGATGTCGCGAACGTAAACGCCTTTGTGTCAAGAGCAAACCAGGTTTTGCCTCCTTCCAGCTTCGGATACCTTATGTTCAATAGTCTGGAACACAGCACATATGCACGATATGGCTTGTCAGGCAAGATACGAAAAAAAGAGCATACAGCATGTATAGTACACACCGATTCGTGGGCCTTACATGTTATGGAAGTCCACTACTGTGTCGGCCAGACACTGTCCGTCAGCGAGCGTCAGAACCTCCTGTGCTGGCAGCTGACACCCCACTCCATGGGGACCGTAGAGCGCCAACGTCTGGAAATCACGCTGATAGTTGGGGCGGGCAAGACGGGCAACGACATCATCACTGGGAGGTGGCGCCCCTCACACCGCTGCCCGCCGATGTCATTGTACGAGGGCGAGGCAACTCCTGCTTCACCTTGCGCTTTCGGCGCTCCTGCTCCGTTGACACTGTGGTTAGGGCACTGGCCGCGCATGACACGTTGTCTCGCTGCACCAGCATACGCTGTATGTTCATCGTGTGCACTTAGAAGACTCAGACGCGTACTGTGTAGGTAGACGGGAGAGATAGACAGGGAGTCGAGCGTCCAAAACCTAGTCTGCTGTAATGGCAGCTCATCGGATGACTATATGAGGCAGCGGACATTGTAGCTTTGCAGAGTCTGTTGTTGTTCGGAAACCCTTAGCATAGACAAGGAACACCGAGCTTACCATAGCGCGCCAGATCCAGCTGTCCCTAAATTGGCGCCGAACGGTGGATATGCATGACGGGCACACGTGTCATGTTTTCGAATCATGCATAGGGCCCTCGATGGGGACCTGGGATTTATTATTCATGTGGCTGCGAGGTTGCAAGAGTGGGTGTGTGATGGTCCATACTCGCTAATGTTCGTTCATCATCAAACACTCAACAACTTTGTTGTTGCGAATAAAACTTTCAACATCTTGTCCAGCGCACAATAAGCATGAACTACCACCACGTGGTTGTGGTCCGGTTCGCACATCCAAGGTGGCATTCAAACCCTATCTACACGCTCTCGTTTAACACAGTCTCGCAACAACAGGTAAGACATTACATCCAATTTCATAGTTGCACGATGCATATGACATACCATAGCACGCCACACTCTTTCGGTCATCGAAGAAGGTCGTAAACACCCTTACATACCAAACTCCCGAACCCCCCGCACCATTACCGCGCCGAAGCTGGTCTCATTCCATGGTCGCGGTACATCAAATTACGGTTACAGTCGACGGACGAGGACGCTTGGTTGGCGTCCGACGCAGACGACTGACGACCAGAGCGTTCGACGCGCCAAACCGCTCTGGTGCGTCCCGCACATTAATGTCGAGCTTTAGGGCCTGACGGACAAGGTACTCGGTGACGACGCGCGCCACCCGCCTGCGACAACGATGGTCATTCAGTAGTGGTCCTGGCTGCGTGTGCAGGGTTATCTCGCGGCCGTCCTCGGCGCCTGGGGTGTCGTTCATGGTGCGCTGCACGCGTGGCGGGAGAAGGGTCAGCTCGTAGTGCACATAATCCGTGGCATGCATGAGAGTGTGGCCAAGCCGTGCGAACTCTTCTATGATGTACTGCAGCTGTCCCAGTTCCTGAACAAGAGGTTCGGACAGGACACAAAGAGCGGGGTTTACGAACTCTCGAACGAAGGAGCGCCACGATGCCGGCACACAGCCGGCGCGCCACCAGCTGAGATGGACCAAAACCGGAGTCAAGTCCCTCCACGTTGAACCCATCCAGTTCGCCATGATGGACAGGGGAGGGGCGTATCGGAACAATGCGCCGTCGCGCCACTCTGGTGTCATCATCAAATGGCGAAGGTATGAGGAACGGTACAGTGTCTTCCACAGCTCTACCAGACCGCACATGCCGGGATGGATGCACCTTGGCGCATCAGGACCCTGCATGTGAATGATTCGGAGGTTGCTCAGGTTCTGCACGCGGAAACCGTGCTCCGTCATTTCCATCACGGATGGATCCGTTGACGAGTGGGCGTCCTGCGTCACGAGGACTATGACATGGTCGTCTGTAGAGTACGACCGCCCGTTCAACGCTTCAAGGTACTCGCTGAATATCTGACAAGCATAACACGCGAGGATGGAGCATGCATGTTAGCAACTGGGATTGCACGAGGATAACGTCAAGGCATTCCGCAGACTGGACGGGGTATGAGGAGAAGATCTCCCACCTCGGGCATGACGAACCCGTCCACGCTGTGTCACACGAACATGGTAAAATCGGGGGGTGTTTCAAGGCCTTGAGCAAGCGCGTCGTCCGCGCGGAATATGAGAAGAGGCGGACACATGATTGTTCCCGTTGCATTGAACAGGAAGCAGACATTGATGCGCCAGTCGGCCAGCGGATCATCGTGTCCATTTTCAAACTGAAGGAAGGGGAGCTTGGTGGGCAAGAGAGGCTCCTCCACGAAGCAGTACACGTCGTCTGGATTAGCCTTTATCTCAGCGAGTAGCATGGCCATTTCAGCCATGGTTGAGAGCTAGAGTGCACCACCGTCACCAGTGCCGAGAATATAAGCTCAACTAGCTTACTCTAGGAGGATGCTGGAATGAAAGAGAGCGTCATTGTACACGCGGACATAACCCGCCCTGTAATCACATCCCGTAGCACTCTTGTCCACATACGTTAGAGGTGTGGACACATGTAGTGACGTTATTCGGACCCAATGCGCCACCAAACATCCGCACATCGACGAGAGCGGGTAAGATAAGTGGTCAGGATGGCGCCAATGTACAGTGAATTGTTGGGGTTTCGTTTGGGTGCGCTCATGTTGGAGAGGTTGTTGCTGTTCGGTTTGACTGGCCTAATCAACCGTCCTAAACCGATGCTATCTCCTGCTTTACGTGTTTCATGCAATGTTACTAAAAACGGGTACACATTTGCCGTTCCCCACCGTTAACAAGGTCGCAATCACCGCTTCGGGAGGTGGTACCAAGACAGAGGGGGTTGCTGGTACATTTGTGTGTGTGTGTGTACGAGTGGCACAGTTTATCGGTAATTTGCAATTAGGGTTCGCGCCACCTCTTGCGATGCTGGGTAACGCATGTGAGGCATGCGGCTTGGAGCACGTCGACGACAACACGCTCCAGTCGCATGTGTCTAAGAATGTCAAGTGCAGGAGGAAGATACAGCACTCTCGTGCCCAGCGGCTGGTGGAGGCGTATCGGGACGCGCTGCGCGCCAGGCGCGGAGCAAGGCCCCGTTCACCCGTGCGTTCTCTACGCAGCTATGAAGGCGACTCTAGTGAGAGGGCCGCAGTGGAACTGGGTGTAGTTGCCGATCAACCCGACCCTCCCGAAGGCCTAGAGGAGGATAGCGACGGGGGTGAGAGTGTCATGTCAGTGATTGACGACGTCTTCAACACTCTGGTCGAGCTGTACATCTTCTTCCGCGAGGCAGATCTGTCGAGAAGGGAGGTGAACGGGTTGCTTAACATATTACAGAACCCTAATTTCTCTTTGAGGGACGTGAGGCGGTGGCTCAATTTTGTGGACGTGAGACGCTACGGGCGCGACAGGGCGCCAAGTGATCATGTCCCATGGAAAACGAGGAACATCAAGTGCTACGGCCCGAAAGGAAGGATATGTACGCTGCTGCTGCACTACCGAGATACTGAGCTGGTGAGTGCATGTGTACATGCCTGGAAAAGGGGCCACTAAATGTTCGTTTCGCGGAAGAGGGTAATGGACAGACCATTAACCCATCGTGTACATGCGTGTGGCAGCTGGTGAAGAAATTGCTACGCGCATTCCAGCACATTGCGGGATTTGTGACCAAGCCTCGGGCGGACGAGGATGACACCGATACGGTGCGGCATTACAGCACTCCCGACACGGGAAAGTGGCTGGAAGAAGCGCAGGTATGAACTCGTATTCAGCTGGGTGGAATGCGCTTAACCGATCAAGCGTTGCATCACTGACGGTTGGGTCCACTATGTGCGCAGGCTGTGATTGGGGAGGAGGACTGCATTGTGCTGGGTGTGATTGTGTACAGCGACAGCACGCACGCCTCGAGAAATGGCAGACTGGTGGCATGGCCGGTCCTAATCAGTTTGTTCAACATCCCGGAAGCGCTCCGCTGGAAGGATCCGGGCCACGTACTGGCTGGGGTTTTGCCGTTCCCGCCAGAGTGGGCGTCGTCGACCGAGAAGACACGCATTTTCCAGCAGTGCATGGAGGTGATATTCGAGCCCCTACTTCGGGCGCACAGAGGGTGAGTGGGTGTGAAAGAGGTGCTTACCCACCATGCTATGACTTACATGAATACAACTTACCATGTCGCCCTGTGCACCGCCGAGTTGCGGTGGTTTTATGTGACGGACGCGACGGGCAAGGTGGTGAAGGCCTTTCCATGCCTTTTCGGGCAGCTGGGGGACTTCCCAGAGTCGTCGCGGTCATCTACGACTCTGCAGCAAGGCTCACATCGGCCGTGTTCTTCGTGCTACATCAAGGAGACACATCTGGCAGAACTGTCACGTAAGTCGGTGGTGCGGACGGTGGAGCTGCAGAGGCGGGTTGTGGAGGCAATTCAGTCGGCTGACGACAGCAAGGCGACGGAGAAAATCAAGAAGCGATGGTCCACACACCCTGTGCATGTGAGGAGTTGCAATGCATAATATGCTAGTATCACGGTGTCGGGTTGTGGACATGGGGGGGGTGACTGTGCGCCCGTTCATATGTGTGCCGTTGTTGCGTGTGGCAGTGCTATTTGGAACGGTGGAACTTTGCCGAGACCACGTGGGGAAACGTGTTCCACGCATGCGCGGCGGACCTTCTCCACGTACTGGACGGGGGAATGCTGCCACGCATGGGCAAGTGTTTCATGATTGGGAGGAGCAAGCCGGAGAGGCGTGAGTTTGAGAGGTGGGTATGGATGGGAATGGCAACACGTTCGTGGTCGTTGCGGGGGCTATGCTGACCCTCTATCCCCTCCATGGCAGGCGCCGCAAGGAACAAAAGAAGGACACGCGCGCATGTGTGGTGCGCATCCCGGGGGGGAACAAAAGGTTCAGCACAGGGGCGAACTACGCCGCTTTCGAGCACAGGGGGATGATGCAGGTGATGCCCCTGCTTATCGCAGACAACATGGAGAAGAGCAAGCCGCCGGCCAAGGCTAAACAGGAACGGGAAGTGGCTGCGTTTGTGGCGTACGCCAGCTTCTACAAGGCCCTGGTGGGCGTGACAAAGCATACCGAGAAGTCACTGGACGACGTCCGCGAGATGGCTGTGCAGTACGTGCCAAATCCCTTTGTGTATTTTATTTTTGTTGACCATTCATGTGTGATGTCCGGCCTAAGCGTGACTCCAGCTGCGTGTACACAGGATGGTGGCCGCCATCAAGGCCTCATTCCCTGACCAGACGTTGGACTGGAACATCCCGAAGGTGCACCAGATCGTGCACTTGATTGACGGCATACCACTACGTGGTATGCCGAACGAGACATCCACCAACCTGTGGGAGCACACGCACAAGGGCACCGTGAAGGTGCCAGTCCGGGGCAGCAACTGGCATGACATCCCGCGCCGTATTGTCGAGGAGGAGGTGCAGCGCGAGATTGCACGGGAGGTGGCGGCGGAAGCGGGCGGAAATAGGCAGTATGTGACGGCGCTGCGCGAGGTGAGGAGAAGGGGTGTGTATTCGAATGCACACAAGGTGCTGTAGAATGGAGCGTACCATCGGACTCATGGTTCTCACATGGGGCGTGCATGCGGTTGTGTGCACACAGGCCGTTTGAAGAATGAAGCCAGTCCTGACGAAGACGTCAAAGAGGGCGCATGTGGACGAAGACCTGGATGCGGTGTTGTGGGCGTATCGCGAAGCACATGGGTCAGACATGGGCTCGCTCGCCGGGTGCATGGTGGCGGCAAGCATCCCCACCACTACCATCGAGGTGGGGAATGACGTTGGTCATAAGATGGCTGGGGGATGGTTGATGAATCGCGGGGATAGCATGCGTGACGGTAGGGTGCGAGCGTTGTGAAGAAATCTCACCGCATACACTGTCCTCCGTCTCCGTTGTGCGGTGTACGAAGGTGCACACAGCCGTGACGATCCCCCGAACACGGGGGGGAGAGCTTGTACCCAAGGGCACATTTGTGAAGGCCAGCCCTTCTAAGCGGTGGTTTTCAGACATCGCAGTGTTCCGGTCTGACGAAGAGGAGTGGTACGCAAGGTGCCTCTGCATCTTCCGCGCAAAGGGGGCGGACGAGGAGATGGGGCGGCACGTGTACGTGAAGTACTACGAGGAGGAGGGCACGTGCCCGATGACGACATGCTTGCAGCTGTCTCCCGGCCGTGTGAGAACAAGATATGCGGTGGTGGAAGTGGAGTGCATCCAGATGGTGTTGCACGTGTGCAAGTCCTACGTGAACAAGCGGGTCATGCTCTTGAACAAGTTCCTGCTGACAAAGTGAGGGTGGTGGGTTATTTTGCCGTGACATGTGGGGGCCATGTAGCCATGTGCGCTGGTATGGACGCAATTGACGCTAATATAGTTGACACATGGTGTGGCTCATTAAATGGTCTTTTTAATGACCGGATGCGTCGCCTAGTTGGGTTGATGTGCAGCCCTTCTAACATAGTGAGAAGTGTCCACCTGGTGTAGATGTTGGCAACCACCCTAAGGCAGAAAATGCTTTAAGGTGTGCATTTGGCGTGTCCCGAAAATGACGGCGCTGCTTTCGCATTGCACGATGACGCGCGAGCGCCAAATGTGCGACGCGGGGCGAGGTGCGCCTCGCGTGGGAAAATGTGCGGCTCAATTTTCCCGGGGCCGTTTCGCGACTGAGGGGATGTGCTAGCCCGTGACTTTTGCGTCACATGTGTTTTGGGACATTTTGGGGACTCGCTGGCACTTTTTGTATGGTTTTCCGTAGAAAACCCCACTCAC